TTTTATTTAACTCATTTTGATAGAATATTTTTACCTCAGGATTGAACCGCGGGGTCCTTTGATGCTCTCTTGAGCTATTTTCTTACAGACGTTTCATTACCCAGCTAAGTAACATCATCCGTGCTAAAAGGGAGTGGGGTTTATAAATGGAGAGCAAACCCTCATTCCCTTCTAGCACTGATGATGTTATCTATCTGGGTAATGAAACGTCTGCGAGAAATGAACCCAGCTCAGAGAATACCAAGAACTCCGTACTGAAGTAATAATAACTCCAAGTGGAGAGGTATTCATTTATTTATTTTTTACCCCTTCCACAATCTTGCGATTGATGGACAGCTGTTCCCTCACCTGAAAACTGTAAAAGTCTTTTCGGACAGGGATTTCCTAGGCTGCTTCGTTTACAAGGAAAATCCCTCCGGATCGTGTTGGCAGTTGGGGAAGGCACCCACAAAACGTGCAGTGTGTTTTAAGGGGTGCGACCTGAGAATGCTTAAATATTTAAACCCTCCCCCCCAAAAAAACGCCCTATCCTAACCCAAAATCTAACCAACCACCATTTGGTACAGAACTTTATTTTCATATAAATAACCCAGTCGGGGGTATCCAGTGCCAAATTTCCGACGGTGTCTGCCACAGCCATTTTCCTTTTTTTTTTTTTGCCAAATTCCTTTGCAATCCCGGAATTTTCAGAAGAAAATATTTCGGTTTGGCTCTCCCGAATAGAAGCAGCGATGAAGGGTGCTTTTTACAGGAATGTGTTTGTGCATCACACAGCAAAACGAGTGTTGACACGTGAAGAAGTTGCCTTTCACACACACACATATATATAGGTAGTCCTCGACTTACAACAGTTAGTTTAGTGACCGTTCAGAGTTACATTCTGGACCAACCTTTTTTCCAAGGTGTCAATCAAGCACTTTCCCACCCTGATTTTTCCCATCTTCGCTCACGGCAAGTTGCAAATAAGCGTGATGGAGCAAACGAACAAATGTTTTTCTTTTTTGTTGTTGCTGTTGTTGAAGGACTTGAAAAGATTTTGCCGTTATTTGTATCGCAATTCAGGTAGTCCTTGACTTAAGAGTTCATTTAGTGACTGTTTATAGTTACAACGGCACTGGAAAGACGTGAGTTACGACCGTGGTTCCCGTTTGCAACCGTTGCAGCGTTCGCACAGTCAGGTGATCAAAATTCAGGCAGCTGACTCGTGTTTATGACGGTTCGCAGCGTCTCCCCCACCCCTCCAGGGTCACACGGTCCCTTTTTGCGACCTTCTGACAAGCCAAGTCCATGAGGGAAGCCGGATTCACTTAACAACCGGTTAAGTGCGGTGATTCACTTAGCAACAGTGGCGAGAAACGTTGCAAAATAGGGCAAAGCTTACTGAACAACTGTCTCGCTTAACCACGGAAATTTGGGGCTCCCTTGCAGTCGTAAGTCGAGGACTACCTGTAGATATATATTTTTTTTTCCCCAACCTCCCTTTCCCCAAATGGGAAATTGCTGGATTAAATACAAGGACACAACATACACCATCCTGGCGATAAAATAGGATATTTGCATTTTATATGCAGCAACCGTCATCATACCGGCAACATTATTATTATTATTTTTAAGGTCCAACTAAAAAAAAAAACCTCGCCCTCCCACACCCCCATTTTCGGACATACACACAATTCTTGGCTAATCACTTCAACACTCTACATTTCTAGCACAACTAGGCGTAGAAATAACATCGTTAAAGAGAAATCGTGACACGTACTTTATAAGTGGAAAGCATTCCAGCACAAGCCGCAGCAGAGACATCACACACAGAAACGCTACAATTTTTTTGTTTTTTGTCGCATCCCTTTCAGGAATCAAGCCAACTGCGGTGGGCTACCCATGTATCGTACAACTGCGCCCCCTCCCCTCTCCTCCCCGCCAAACCCTCCCCCCCCAACCCCAGGTGCTCCCCCCCACCCTTTAAATAATGTCTCCTAGTCTGGCATTCTAGCAAAACAGTTATTTTTGCTTATTTCTCCAACGTCCCTATTCAATATTTCTACTTGCTTTTTGCACATCGTTGTTTGTTGGCTTTTTTAAAAAATAATCTCATGCTCTGGAAATAAATCCTTAAAATTAGTCAAAGGTCTTTTCTTACAATATCTCCCCTCCCTTGGAAATAATATCTGTGGAGCGTTAGCCTTTTCTTTCCTTCCCAATCTACTTTTCCTCTGGGTGGATATAATTGCCAAATCGAATTGGCGATTTGGGGCCGTCACGGCTCTTTTTATTCTGCCCAAAAAAAATCCGTTTCAAACTTAAAAAAAAAAAAAAGAAAGAACCAGAAAAACGTGGCAGCTTCTGCTTTGCAAAGGAGGAGATCGGAAAATACTTTTTCAGTTTACTTTTTGCGTTCATCTTTTTTTAAAAAAAAATCCGAAATGGGCAATGGGAATGAACCGCTTAATATTTTAAAAAGTCTTAATTTTTTCTCCCCAGTTTTAAGTCAAGTCAGGGTGGCATTTCACTTTGCAACTTTTCCCCCTCTCCAAAAGCGATAAAATAAATCTGTGCATGTTAAAATGACGATGCATACATCACTGATAATAGATGATTACACAAATAATAAAGGTGGGGGAAAGTCAGGAGATTTTTTTAATAGTCTCTGCCCTGTCAGGATGGGCGACTTTAAAACTGCTATCTGCAGTTCTTGCAATATTTAGCTTTAGAGCAGGTAAGAATTTTTCTACAGGCGATCTGCCACATCTGGACTGCTGAAAGCAGGCCGTGAGCGCCTTCACAAAATGGGGGCCGGAGAGATTTACCGACTGGCAACAAAACGGCAAGACGATGGGTACCATCCCTCAATTCTACGCTAGTTTGCAAGAAGGGAAAGTTACGAGGCTTAATGTCAGCTTTCTATTTGATTTGTTTTCAATAAAAAGACTCTTATCCTGGATCACACGATGCCCAAGAGCAGAGAGAGGGATGGAAAATCAATATTTCCTCAGATCTAATGTCCTTTTTTTGGTTTTTTTTTTGGAAAAACAAAAACAGCTGGGAAAATGGATCAATCAGGACAATTAAAAGGATCCTTTTTGATGGACCTATTCTTCTCGAAGGCATACGCATAAGAACCAAAAATAAAGGAATAACAGAATGGCGGAGTTGAAAGGGACCTCAAGAGGTTTTCTAGTCCAACCCCATGCTCAAGCAGAAAAACCCTAAACCATTTCAGACAAACGGTTGTCCAATCTCTTCTTAAAAAGTTTTTGGGATGCGGGTTTCGGGACCTCTGGAGAGTACCAGATACTTCCATCTGCTCTCACAAAATTGACCCAGCATTTAATTTGAAAAGTGTTACGGTTATACGGGGTCGGGCAGGAGAGTGTGAGGGGCAGGAGAAGGATTTGCACAAGCAAGCGTGTAACACGCAGATCGGGACGGCAAATGTTTGTTCAATTCATAGCCAAGAACTGGGGATCTGGTTTGTTCAAACCATTAGGGCAGTGTTTCTCAACCTTGGTGGCTTGAAGATGGGTGGACTTCAACTCCCAGAATCCCCCAGCCAGCAACGCATTGCTGGCTGGGGGATTCTGGGAGTTGAAGTCCACCCATCTTCAAGCCACCAAGGTTGAGAAACACTGCATTCAGGGAAAAAAAATATCATGAGCTGGTTGATGAATGCTAGGGGCCAGTCACTCTGTTGCCCTTATTGATTTCTTGACTTCGATATTATTTATTGATTTTTCCAATCTCATGAATGCAGGTCGCCCTCAGCTTCACTTAGCCACCGTTCCAAGTTACCACGGCGCCGAAAAAAGTCACTTACGACCGGTTTTTTTCACACTTACAACTGGGGCAGCCTCCCTACAGTCACGTGATCAAAATATTGGCCACCGATTCATATTTTTGACGGTCGCCGTGTCCCGCGGTGCCAGGGGAGATCCCCTTTTGCGACCGTCGGACAAGCCAAGTCAAGTCAAAAGAACCTGGTGGCACAGCAGACTAATAGCCTGTTATTATCATCCATCTGCCTGCAATTACTGCAGGTTCGAATCTCGCCAAGGCTCAAGGTTGACTCAGCCTTCCATCCTTTCTAAGGTAGGTAAATTGAGGACCCAGATTGTGGGGGCAATAAGCTGACTTTGTATAAATATACAAAAGTACGAAGGCTATTGCTTAACGCATTGTAAGCCGCCCTGAGTCTCAGGAGAAGGGCGGCATATTAATCAAATTTAAAAAAAAACGGGGAAGCCTAGATTCACTTAACAGCCACGGGACTAGCTTAACCACTGCAGCGGTTCGCTTAACAACCGTGGCATAAAAAAGATCGTAAAACGGAGCAAAACTCAGCAAATGTTTCGCTCAGCAACAGAAATTTTGGGCTCGGGGGTGGGCCGTATGTTGAGGACTGCCTGTATTTCTTATTTTGTGTGGTAGACTATTATATTGGGTATGGTACTGTCAAGCAAACAGTCTGCACCATACTATTTCAAATAATAATAATAATTAATAATATTAATATTAAATATTAATAATAAAACTTGGCAGCTTTAAGACTTGTGGACTTCAACTCCCAGAATTGGAGAATTCTGGGAGTTGAAGTCCACAAAGCTGCCAAGTTTGAAGACCTCTGGAATAATGGATGATGGCTAAGGATTGTCTTTCAGCAACCTGCGGGATTAGTTACTCCAACCTTGGGGAGGCTGATATGTTTTTAAGAGAGTTTGGAAATACCCCGTTTTGCTTGCTTTCGAAAAACACCTTCTACCCCCCCCACCCCCAATCCTTCCTGCCTATAACAACCTAACCAGCTTCATGAGTTTTAGAAGCAAAGATGCCACCCACGTTTCTTAATGTTAAGGTGAAGACACCTCTAGCTCTGCTCCCACCTTTCTGCTAAAATCCTCGTGCATGTTTAGAGAAGTGCGCTATTCCCTCCTCGCATGTTTAAAGGAGATTTTTAATCTCCTTAAAAATCCAACACGGAATGAGCTTCTAATACAGTCAGAGCATAAGCTGATTAGAAGTCTCTAATTAATTTTGTGGGAAGGGAGGAAGGAAGGAAGGAAGGAAGGGAAGGAAGAAGGGAAGAGAGTGTGGAGAAGAGAGGAAAGGGAGGGGGGAAGGAGGGAAGGAAGGAAGGGAAGGAAGGAAGAAGAAAGGAGAGGGAGAGAGGAAAGGAAGGAGGGGAGGGAAGAAGGGAAGAGAGTATGGAGAAGAGCGGACGGGAAAGGGAGGGGAGAAGAGGAGAGGAGAAGAAAGGAAGGGAAGGAAGGAAAGGAAGAGTGTGTAGAAGGAAGGAAGGAAGGAGGAAGGAGAGAGGAAAGGAAGGAGGGGCAGGAAGAAGGGAAGAGAGTGTGGAGAAGAGAGGAAGAGGAGCGGGGAAGGAAGGAAGGCGGGGACAGGAAAGGAGAAGAAAGGAAGGGAGGGAAGGAAGGAAGGAAGAGTGTGGAGAAGGAAGGAAGGGAAGAAGGAGAAATAAACAGAGAGAGACAGGAAAAAACAGCAAGTAAACTGCAGCGAATCACTCTTTAGCTTCGGCCAACTTATTGTTAATTTCTTTACTTTTCTCCTTGTCCTCGGCCGTGGCTGTTCTGCTGGGTGTCTCTGCACTCTTCTTCTTCGATGCCCTGCTGGATGCCATCTGCTTATCTTTGGGCTTTTTCACAGATTTATGGCTTGGGGTCGTCTTTTTTGGCTTAGAAGGCTGAGGGCTGGGCTTCTCCACCTGGTCGGAACCAACGAGATCCATCAGGGTGAAGGACGTACATGACAAGACCACAGGAGAAGGGAGGGAAGGTGGGGGAAAAGAGAATTGAGAGAGAGAATTGCCACGTTAAGAGCCAACAAAAGTGCCCGGAGGAGAACAGGAAAACGTCAGGGGGTTATCCAGACAACCCCATGCCCAAGAAGATGGTGGAATGCTTCGGTGCCCAAAAAGGGTTTTTTTTTTTTTTTTTTGGAAAACACAAAAACATTATCTTGCCTGCAACTCTTTAAAACAGCTGCATCCTTCCCCCCCATTCCCCAGGTTCATCCATCTGCCTTCTTTGGCTGCACTAGAAGAAGACGCAGCTGCTTTAAAGAGTTTCAGAGAGCAGTTAACTTTGGCCTTGTAAAGTGCCTTTCTCAATTTCGATCCAGAAAAAAAACCATGAAATACTAGAAAATACGCCTAACAAACAAACAAACAAACAAACAACAACAACAAAACCTAAGGATTAACTGACATGGGGATTATTTTTATATATCTCATTTTTTCTAAGGTGATAATTTTTGTATATCTTGTTTTTTTCTACGTGTTTCCCTTTTCTTCTTTATATGGTAACTGCTATTCTAATAGCAAATCCTTCATCGAAGTAATTGCATTACATTCTTGATTAAATTATCTTTCCATTGATATAAAATTTTATGGTACTACTACTACTACTCCAAAAAAAGTGGCGTTATTAGCTAGTTTTAAAAGATACACTTTTCCCAAAAGGTTTCCACAATTTTGGCCACTACTGTAGGTGGAAAATATAGCTGTTGTACAACACTGTCCATTCTAAACGTGTTTTTCATCCCTATGGGAGAGTATAAAATCACACTTTAGCATATTTAACTTTAGCCCAAATGCTCAGTTGCAAAGAACAGGATTGAGCTCCCTTGCAAACGGATTCTGAACTGGATTCCCCACCAATGTTTAGCAGATTGAGATTGAGCGCAAACTGTGAAAATGGAATCTTTCAGGCACAGGGAAAAAAATTGGAAGCTGTTCCAGCATAATTATTATTTTTTCCCCCCAGTTTTAAACCAGGAAAATCTGTGTCCTATTCTTCTCCTTTCTGGAGAAAGTGCATATGGATAATTCCTTCCTTTTCCGCCCCCTCTGCAGGGTGGCAGTGAGGAGGTGAGGCAAACAATTTCTATAGATAATTTCTCCTCAGCCTGACCTGTTAAAATTCTCTCCCCTTTTCATAGAGCAGAGAGATTGGAGAGAAAGGGATTGGAAGAGAGTAAGCAGGCACACTACGGGGAATCCACTGAGTGGCTTGTATCGTGTGCTTGGCAGCACATTGCTTTTGATGTATATTTATTTATTTATTTCATTTTATTTCTATACCGCCCTTCTCCTGCGGGACTCAGGACGGTGTACAGCCAAGATAAAACATTGCATATAAAATTTAAAAACAATTTAAAAAAACAATTAAATAATTTCGGCCCAAGATTTAAAAACAACCCAATTAAAATCAAATTCAATTAAAACTGAGAGGATGGGATCAAGCCAGCCACGGCTAGATGGAATAGGTGTGTTTTCATCCACATATTGTGCCTGCTTCCTCTCTTGCAATCCCTTTTTCTCCAATCTTCCGCTCTGCAATGTTGGAGAATGAGGCGGCGGGGGAAAAGCTCAGGCGCAGGACAAGGTATATTAACTATTAATAATTATTTATTGGTAATCGTGTCTCAGGGATGCTGTGAAGGTCATAAATGCAGGCCTTGGTCATAAAGTTTTTTTTTTTTTCCAGCACCGTTCGAACAATTGCTGAACAAGGCAGTAAATAAGCAAAGTCTTCCTATATATTCATGTGTATTTTAGGAGAGATGAGAATGGCTGAGGGAGATAATCAGACAGATGAAAAAAATATGCTAGATAAATAATCTCGTTACGTTTTCCTAATCTGCAAAAAGATCACTTAGCTTTGAGTCCTTTATATTTCAGATTCCAGTTCCCCAATCTTTCAGCAGCAGCATTCACAGGCAGGGCCATGTGGATACACATCAAAAGCAGTGCGCTGGTTACGGCAGCCACAAGCACACCATGCAAACAGCCCAGCATGTTCCCATGGTGGCCTTCTTATTCTCTTGCGATCCCTTTCTCTCCAATCACTCCATTCTATAAGGAGGGGAAAGGGGGGGAATCCACGTGGTGTACCTACTTACTCTCTTGTGATCCCTTTCTCTCCAATCACTCCATTCTATAAGGAGGGTAAAGGGGGGGAATCCACGTGGTGTACCTACTTACTCTTGTGATCCCTTTCCCTCCAATCACTCCATTCTATAAGGAGGGGAAAGGGGAGGGAAAATCCACGTGGTGTACCTACTTACTCTCTTGTGATCCCTTTCTCTCCAATCACTCCATTCTATGAGGAGGGGAAGGGGGGGAAATCCACGTGGTGTATCTACTTACTCTCTTGTGATCCCTTTCTCTCCAGTCTATAAGGAGAGGAGAGGGGGAAAAAAACTACTTTGCGGTGGCACAATGCTTGCCTTGCTCCTTTCGGATGTGTGCTGTGACGCTACATGCCCAAAGGAGCAGCACCTGCACATGGGTTGGAAAACAAGCTATGATCTCCTGCGGATGGTTGAATGTCGATGATGGTTATCTGGCCCTCTCCGCCCCCATCCTTACCTTTGGAGATTCTTGCAGCGGCTCTTTATAGAGGGTGCGTATCCTTCGGCGTTCCATGTATTTGTTATCTGGCGGGCCGGGCTTTGCTCCTTCGGCAGTGAATTGGGAACTGTAGCTTGTTTGGTGAAACATTTTCTCATCTGGAGGCTCGTATTGGGACTTGGCCTTGATAGCTCTCACCGGCCTGATGTCCGTCCACGGTCGAAATTCATTTCTGGAAGGAGCAGAAAAGTAGAAAAAGAACAGGAAAATAATAACCTCCACCACAATATAAGTGTTGTGACTCCGACCCCCGAGCCTGTCCTAACAGAGGGAGAGGACTCAGAAGGTGAAGGAGAGGATTTGGTAAGGCCTCCCACTCCAGGACCCCCCTCTCTGGCAATGTCTCAGGTTTCCTCCGAAGGCCAAGAGATATGTCAGGAGCAAGGCACTTCGGAGCAGCCGCAGATAGAGAGCGAGGGGGATGAGTTTTGGCTGGATCCCAGACAGCGTCGGAAGGATAAGCACACGCAGACGAGAAAGAGGCGTGGGCGGGCCAGAGATTGACCTTGTGACGGACAAATTGTAAAGCTCAGAAGTCATATCGTGTTTCTAGAACCCTGTTAGAATCTCTTTTTGGATTTCTTCAGACTGGATTTTGACAATTCTTTGCTTTGAGGAATTATATATCGGTATATCGGACTGAGGAAAAAAACCTTCCCTTAGTGAGTAAAATCTCTTGGCAGGCAGTTCATGGTTCGCTGCCAAGACTGTTATCTTAAAGGAACTCCTGACTGTTTGATTCATGTTCCCATGGTGGCCTTCTTACTCTCTTGCGATCCCTTTCTCTCCAATCACTCCATTCTATGTGGAGGGGAAAGGGGGGGGAAATCCACATGGTGTACCTCCTTACTCTCTTGCGATCCCTTTCTCTCCAATCACTCCATTCTATGAGGAGGATAAAAGGGGGGGGAATCCACATGGTGTACCTCCTTACTCTCTTGTGATCCCTTTCTCTCCAATCACTCCATTCTATGAGGATAAAAGGGGGGGGAATCCACGTCGTGTACCTACTTATTCTCTTGTGATCCCTTTCTCACCAATCACTCCATTCTATGAGGAGGGGAAAGGGGGGGGAACCCCACATGGTGTAAGGTCTCCTGTTTGAGCAGGGAGTTGGACTAGAAGACCTCCAAGGTCCCTTCAAGCCCTAGGATTCTATGATGCAACCTGGAACTAAGGAGAAATTTCTTGACAGTTAGAACAATTAATCGGTGGAACAACTTGCCACCAGAAGTTGTGGGTGCTCCATCACTGGAGATTTTTAAGAAGAGACTGGACAGCCACTTGTCTGAAATGGCATAGGGTTTACTCCTGGAGTAGGGGGTTGGACTAGAAGACCTCCAAGGTCCCTTTTCCAACTACGTTATTCTGCTATTCTATTCTCCAAAGCACCTGAAGGCAGGACAAGAAGCAATGGACGGAAACTCATCAAGGATAGAAGCAACTGAGAACTAAGGAGAAATTTCCTATCAGTTAGAACAATTAACCAGTGGAACAGCTTGCCACCAGAAGTTGGTGGTGCTCCACTACTGGAGGCTTTTAAGAAGAGGTTGGACAAAAAAAAGAAGAAGAAGAAGAAGAAGAGATTGGATAGCCATTTCTCCAATACGGTATAGCATTTCCTACCTGAGCAGGGAATTGGACTAGAAGACTGCCAATATAAGTCCTTTCAGCCTTACATTTATATTCTTCTAGGAGATAGGCAGCAGATAAATGTAATAAATGATTTTAAAAATTTCAACGGTATAGTGTTTCCTGCCTGAGCAGGGGGTTGGACTAGAAGACCTCTAAGTTCCCTTCCAACTGTGCTATTCTGTTAAAAATATGCCTATTCATCCACTGGGAGACTGGGCTCCTCTGTCTTCACTCGCGTAAGTAATTCGAGCATGCCTGTTCAATGAGAGAAGAGCTTGAACCAATTCAGAAATACAAAAGACCTTCTCGGAGGGATAATTTGCTATGTCTCTGAACTGGAAAAAATGAATGGTTTAATTATGCTGGGCTTTCCGTGCCCTTCTGATTGGAACGCATCTTGCAGAAAAGCAAAAAATAAAAATAGATGAACAGAGTGGGAAGGGACCTTGGAGGTCATCTAGTCCAACCCCCTTTCCAAGCAGGAGATCCTACACCATTTCTGACAGATGGCAGTCCAGTCTCTTCTTGAAAGCTTCCAGTGATGAAGTTCCCACAACTTCTGAAGGCAACTTCTGTTCCATGGGTTGATTGTTCTCACTGTCAGAAAATTCCTCCTTATTTCCAGGTTGACGCTCAACCTCGAACTCTCCTCTATCGTCCCGTCCAGTTTCAAACATTGCTCTTTAAAGGAGGCTACTTTGAACCTGGAACCAGTTCAAAGATCAGAGACAAGGATGAGCTGCAGATTAGAAACTAAGCCGAGTACTTTCAGCTAGGAGAAAAACAGGAGTTGTCCCGTTAGAAGGAGAGATAATAAAAGAAAAATTTTAGAATGTGCAGAAATGAACAGGTTAACATTAAGAATAAAAGATAAAGTGGAATCGGTATACTTCAAGACATGGGGACGTTTTTATGATTGGTTAGAAAAGGAATATGAATAAAAATAAATGAAAGAGAAGACAAAAAAGAAAGAGAAATCCAGATGACACCTGAGTAAATGAAAAAGGGGGAAGGAAGGGGAAAATGAAAAAAGAGGTACTATATAAATGTACGTTAAGGATGATATATGTGTAACCAGCAAAATAGAAAAGAAATTTAAAGGAAAACGTGATGTAAATATAAGATCTGGGTTGGTCGAATACCATCTTGATAAAATATTGATATCAACTTGCAAAGCTTTCAAGTTGCCATGAGCAGGAGGGAGGGAGAACTGATAAGAGCTGATTGATTTCCCTAACTGAAGTGCATTCCATATATTCTTCCTGACCGCAATCAGAAGGAGGGTGTTGGATTTCACAGCCAGCCAAAGTGGTTAATTGGAGAATGTGATTTATGACATGGCCAGAGAGGAGGGGAGAGACAGGGTCATAGGGGAACGTAAATCTACATGGGATTAGTTCTAACTGCATCCGAATATTGCCGAAATGGTGCTCCTAATAAACGACTGTATTTCTTTTGAAGTTCGGCTCATGGCTCATGAATTAGGGCATCTTTCGGAAACTTCACAATTGAATTGAAATAGACACAACAACGGAGAGGGAAGGGAGAGAGGAGTAGAGGGACAGGTAGGAAGGAGAGAGGAGAAGGGAGGAAAAGAGAGAGAGAGAAGAAAGGGAGAGGAAGAAAGGGAGGGGAAATAAGAATAGGAGAGAGGGTTAGAAAGAGAGGAAGAGGGGAAAGGAAGGGGAAGGAGAGGAAGGGAAGGAGAGGAGGAAAGTAGAAAAGAATAGAAGAAGGGAGGGAAGGGTAAGAGGGGAGAAAGAAAGGAATGGTTGTTGTGGAAGAAGGGAGATATGGAATGGTAGAAGAGCAACTCCGAATATATTTTAAAGTTTTAGGATGAAGAATGAACCAATATGGAAACCAAAAGATAATGTGTGTGATCAGAATGGTTAAAGAGATTGTACATTTATATATGTTATATATGTATTTTTAATATTCAAAGTTTAAATTTGTTTTAAATTGATTGGGTTTTAAATTTGTCTGGGCCAAACTATTTAATTTGATTTTATCTCTGCTTTTTAAATTTTGTATGTATGCATTTTATTGTTGGCTGTTCACCGCCCTGAGTCCTTCAGGAGTAGGGTGGTATATAAATCAAAGTAAAGTAAAGTAAAGTAAAGTTTTATGAGAAATTAAAATAAAAAACTTTTCTAAAAGAAAAGAAAAACAGGAGTTGTGAAAGAACGGGATGTTCCTACAAATATAACTTTCACAATTCTGAAAAAAAAAATAAAACATAAAAATAAAAATCCAATTTCTGCTGTTTCCACCGTGTTTCTCAATTTTTCAGAGGTGTGGACTTCGATTCCCAGAAATTCCCCCAGCCAGTTGTAGAACCAAGCGACCCGAATGAAATATTCCATGCAGTTATTTGGTTTCCCCAGATTTCTGATGGATATATTTTTGATCGAGATACATGGGATGATTCTGCAAATCTAAGCAGGGGAGTCAAATGTTTTTAATTTGGTCGGGAGGCCACTAGGAGATCTCCCAGCTGTAGCTTTGGTAGGGGAGATGTCTGCTTTGGAAAACAGGTCTGTTTTGCTGAGAATGATTAAATGTGAGAATCGCTTGGAACACAGTCCTCGACTTACGACAACCACTGAGCCCAAAATGTCTGTTGCTAAGCGAGACATTGGTGAGTTTTGCCCCGTTTTACCACAACTGCTCTTGCCACAGTTGTTAAATGAAATCACTGCAGTTGTTAAGTGAGTCACATGGGTGCGTGCCCAGACCATAATTTAATGCGCCCCGCCCTCCTGCACATGCGCACACGACCCCCCCACCCCCGCGCTCACCCCACTTTTGGCACGCGATGGCACGGTGGGCCCGGTAGGCCCGTTTTTTGCCCTCCCCAGGCTCCAGAGCCTTTCTAGGAGCCTGGGGAGGGCGAAAACGGCCTTCACCACACACACCACCGGAGACCGGAAACAGCCCGTTGCCCGACTTCCAGTGGGCCCGGAAGGCCCGAAAACCAGCTGGCCGATGCACGCATGCGCACCGGAGCTGAACTAGGACAATGCTCGCATGCCCACTGATATGGCTGCGTGTTCCACCTGTGGCACGCGTGCCATAAGTTCACCATCACGGTCCTATATCATTCCAGACAAATGGCTGTCCAATCTCTTCTTAAAAAACTCCAGGGATGGAGCACCCCCAACTTCTGGTGGCAAGCTGTTCCACTGGTTAATTGTTCTCCCTGTCAGGAAGCTTCTCCTTAATTCCAGGTTGACTTCTCCGGGGATCTTTTAGCATAGCCCTAGATATTTTACTGCCCCAAATCAAATCAAATCAAATCAGAGCCTTGATAGTACAGTGGTCTACGCACCCTGTTATTAACACAGCTGCCTGCAATTTACTGCTGGTTCGAATCTCTCCAAGGCTCAAGGGTGACTCAGCCTTCCATCCTTTCAAAGGTAGGTAAATTGAGGACCCAGATTGTGGGGGCAATAAGCTGACTTTGTATAAATATACAAAAGTATGAAGGCTATTGCTTAACGCATTGTAAGCCGCCCTGAGTCTCCGGAGAAGGGC